CCATTAAATAATATATATATAAATCTATATTCGGCAAATCAAAAAAATCTTCTATAATGTTAGAAAAATTTCCGGAAACTAAACATTATGTAGATCGTTAATATCAATCAACATATAATATCCAAAAATACGTCAAAATACACAATTTTCATCTTCTTTGCATAATTCAACATGCATTATGCATTCCACTCTTCTTTTCATTCTTCTAGGCATTGTAGGCACCCTAAACCCCACCCCACGTCCTCCGCCAGAAGAATTAAGAACTAGGCATGTGAAATGGCCAGGTGATACTTATCGCATTCTCGATTTACCGCATGATTCCAAAATTATGTAATTAGATGCTTTCGTCACTCAATTCACATTGAATTGGCCCTATTTTGTGTGTTTTTTTTTGGTCACTGCATGTTTTGTTCATACACTTCCTGTATCTTATCTATCCCTTAGGCACTCCACCTACGTGGAAGGGCTTTGAGGGGCGGGATTCGTGTCCGCAAGTTGTGTGTGGTCGATCGACATTGTTTGTCCCAATCATACTGGAGCGCTGCGTGCCACCACAAAAAAGCAGTGTAATTTGTTTGAACCACCTTGAAGCGCTTGCCAGTTTGCTGTTTTTTTGACGTGGTGTCACTCTTTGTTTGTCAAACGGGGATTCAATGCTTCAACATGTCGGCCTGACACAGGCACAGGTCTGAGAACGAGAACACGGACGTCCCACTACGTGCTATCATCTTCCAATTCAATGTTCTTCTCTAGAAAGCACGGCTCAGCAACATGCGTTCCGGAAAAGCATGCGCTTTGCGTCCTGGTGAAAATACATATATAAGCTCCTTTTTGCATCTCGCGGCCACTTCCCCAATATGGCACACCCAGTGTGTGACCCACCCACTGCCTGGCAAACCCAAGTGCTTGGCACACCCTAGGTGGGGGCCACGTGAATGGGAACTCTGTCTGATGCTGGCAACCAGCAGGAGACAGATCAAACCTGATTAAACAACTCTCGACCGGGCACTAGAATTGACATTGCCATAGCAACATCCGTGACGAACGTGATTTTTTTTTGATGTCGGCACTTTGTTGTGGAACTGTTGGCTGTATGCAACTCATGTGCCGCAGTGCCGCTGATTGCAGCAAACTCGCTCTCAGCTCCACTCAGCTCCACTGCTTCCTGAGGCGAGTACTTTTTGCAACCCCCAATCCCGCCGAAGAGGCTCTTGAAGTGTGAGCAAGCATCCAAACTGAGTTTGAGCCAGCAAGTACAATATCAAAAAGTCATAAATAATCTGCAGTACATTGGGCCTAGCAAAATCAGAAGCAAGCGCATAGCGCATACATCAGAATTACTCTGTTGCGCTGCTTTCAGATTTAGAACTGATAGGTTTATCGGCGTGGCTCATTTGTCTCAAGACTCTCGGGTTTGTCTCAAGACTCAAGCTTTCATGGGTACCTGGCATAGCATCTGTCTCATCCCGTCTCACCTCAAACACTCTCAATTCACTGACACGTGCTGGCACTGTGCATATGCAAGAAGTGCTCTTCCAAGCGACTACTCGACTCTCTCTCTCTCTCTCGTCGCTCGGCCTGCAAGTTCGTCAGCAAATAGTGTTCGGCTCACCTGATGACACATGACTTTGAGAGGAATTGCACTCAGAAATCACAAGGAATAAATTCCAGCGATTCTATAATTCACATTCCAAGTACAAAACACAAATGCAAATGAAGTACTTGAAGGATGAAGGCACTCACCTTCGTGCTCTCGCCAAGTCTTGCATGCCTGCAGTTTGAGTAGTCCCCATGACCATGCGCAAGCTGCTTGGTAAATTGATGTATATATAAATTGATATCGTTTCACAAAAGTCGAACCAAATCAATGCGAAGGGTTCTTCAAGGAAACTCCCCCCCGCCATCTTGAAAGAATCCTAACTTTTTCTGGGGTTGTCGGGCCTTACCTCTCCGCAACAGGATCGTCAAAGCGCTTCTTCTCTCTTAAATCGCATGGTGGTTTGAATCGCACAGCCTTACAGCCAAATCTAAGGATCCGACCCTGCGGGGTCCTGGTGGCACAGGTTTCTCGCGGCACTTCGCGAATGAAGTCCGTGAACAAATTCAAGTGATGCAGTGGAGTACTGCTTCATCAATGACCCCCTGTATTTGTACTGAGACTCCTGGCCTGCAAACACAATGCTGCAGGATATGTCCTTGACATGCAGGAATGCTGTGTGGATTGCTTGTGCGGCTCCTTTACTCTCTCATGTGCTTTGCTTGACGTAGGATAAAACAATCAGCCAGCCTTTCACCATGCAAAGGAACAAACGCCCGTGCCTTGCTCGAGTCCGACGCGGGAAAAACAAATCAATTGGCTGTTTCACATCGTTTCGCATAAACTCCTTCTCTCACCATCCAGCCTCGGGTCTGAGCTTCGTCAAAGGTGAATTTGATGCCTCACCAAACAGTTGGCTTCTTTGGGTGGATGCCTGCATGCTTGACCTTTTACAGGACTTTCATGATTGCTAATCTTCAAGTGACTAGAATGTCAGGTTCGTGGTTGCCTTCCTTGGGAACTTTTTGATGGCACCTAAATACACGGTTTTTGGCCTCCCACCTTTGTAGGAATGTGTTGCAGGCAATTGGAATCGGGGCGTCCCGGCAGCATCCTCTTGGGAGGGGGCTGACGTCGTGGAGTGGTGGCGCAGAGCGCTTTTCATGAAGGCTCAAGGAAGCGAGCAGCGTTGAGAACAGCAATGTGCAGATGACGGAGGCAGGGTCAGAGCTCAACGTAGTCGTAAAGGAAGAAGTATATCGAAAGGCAGCTTGCAGTCTCGCTGTTGTGGCGTAGCATCGTCCAAGGTGTCCGCGATAGGAACAGGTTAGCGCGTGGATATGGAGGCGACTCGTAGGGCTCACGGGCAGGGGGCTCAAGCTTCATGGTTGAACGGGTCGAGGTAGCCGAACGGCGTGGCGAACTCGGAGGACGCTGAAACAGCCAAGCAACAAGGCTTGTTGTCGAAGACGGAGAAAAGTGGGAAGATGACTTCGAAGTTCCTCCAAGAAGCGGACGTCGTCGCCCCGCAAAGAAGCCAGCGACCAGAGCCGAAAACCTCATTCTTTTTGGCCGTCGGGCCGTCCAGATAGACAGGAACCTGTGTAGAGCAAGTTTTGCGTGAAGTTTATCGAGAGGCGGGGCCGTGAAACAAGGCATATATTATATATATAACCAAACGTTTACACATCCTAATATGGAGACGGTAGGCTCCTAGGGTGGATTACAGTGGAAGATGCTAAGCAAAACGTTTTTGGTTTTGAAGCGGTGTGTTAGAGAAAGCCTCGTCGTCCGATGTCCGAGGAAGAACAGCCGCAGCTATGAGCCTTGGGCATCCTACAAGGCACGCGCGCTGCGCGCGCATGGACGGCGCTCCATGATTGGAGACTGGCTGCCGTGAGTGCAGCTTGAATATGTGCGGGAAAAAATTGGACAGTGAGAGACTACTGTCTACACTACAGCGCAAAAAAGAGAGGGTAGCCGACGTCGACACCATAATATGGAGAGAGCGCAGTTCACTGCGAGTGCCAAGGACAGCGCGGATGACAGAGCGTAAGCTAGCGAACATTTGGAATGAGTAAAGGTGACGACGAAAAGACCTCGGCCTTCACCGTAACAAGGCGGGTCAGGTGGGGGGATACGTAGAGCTTCTTGTTCGGGAGGAAAAGTGGAACGAGCAATGACATGTAAAGTGGCGGTGGTGGTGGTGGTGGTGAAAAAATTGTTCGATGTGCACAAGATGGCCACAAAGATCCACAAAGCAAGAGGCAAATCACCGGAGAATCTTTGGCAGCCGACCAAAAACCCCAAATGCGAGGAGGTTTGCGGAAAGGTGTGGTACATCACATGAGGTGGTGGGATTTCTCTTGGCCGACGAGAGTGCCATCGCGCAGGTGACGTTGCGGGGAGCCACGGCTAGGCTAAGTACTTTGCGGAGCTGACATCGTGGACAACCGCTGCAAAGGAGGGGAGTGGTGGAGCTCGACGTATGCCATGTGGGTCGCTTCAACAAGCGTTGGCCACGTTTTACAGAGTTGCGACGTCTGCAATCTTCGGTGCGTACTACCAAGCTTGGCGTGGGGCCGTTAGAGATCCGACCGGCTAAAACTTTGCTCACCACCACATCTTGGTGAAAGTGCCTGGACTTGTGATGTGATCTACACGCAAGAAGACATAGCCGTGAAAGAGATTGGACTGACTTTGAAGTGTGGGCATGAAGCACTGGTGATGTTGTCCAGCGTGCAGGCAAACAACTCCAGGAAAACGACATTGTCGTGGCTCGGCAAACGACAGGCCTGTGCCCAACAAGGCCGAGTCGAAAGGTTTTATCTGGGCATCCGCCAGGTCTGGTGGAGACAAAGTCGCGCTTCGAGGAAGAAGAAGAACAAGATGAAACGTTGAATCCTTTGTCGGCAAGCGAGGGGTTTCGACGCACAGGATGAGAGTGCAGTGTATGGCAAAGGGTGAGGGCATCCGAACAAGGTGATCGCCATATGTCTTGAAGAGGTGAGCAACGCATCGTGAGGGTGGTGGTAGTAGTAGTAGTAGTGGTGGTAGTAGTAGTAGTAGTAATAGTAGTAGTAGTAGTAGTAGTAGAAGTAGTAGTAGTAGTAGTAGTAGTGGTAGTGGTAGTAGTAGTAGTAGTAGTAGTAGTGGTGGTAGTGGTAATAGTAGCAGTAGCCGTATAGCAGTAAATAGAATAATGCGCGCGTGCGCTTACTTTCTGCAGAGCAGAAGGCCCAGCGCCCATGGCCGCCGACCCGAGAAGCCAGGGCGCGAAAACTATAAACGCATCAACACAGTGTTCTGGTAATTACATGTCACACCTCGCAACATGCTCCAAATGGCATAAATACCGTGCTTTGGGCAGCAGAAAGGTAGGACACACTGTAAACACCATCTCCCATTGAAAAGAACCATCCATTTCACAAGATATCGGAGCAAACATCTGCCTTCTTGGGAAATCCTTTCGGCCCAACACATAACTAGCATCAACGCATGAAATTTCATGACATGTTCCCGGGCGCGAAGGCCTGCGTCCTGAGCAGCACCAGCAGCAAAGCTTGTGACACCTAAAGCAATCGAATGAAGATGCAAGCTGCCTCAATTGTCAAAATTTCAACATTTGCTGTGAAAAATACAATGTGCATCAATATGCGTAGAATCGAGGCGGGAGTATTCTCTAAACTTTTCGAGTTGTCTAAGCCAAATATTTGGGAAAAAGGTAGATTGGCACCTGTGCAGCACCATTGGTCTGCCCTAAGTACAAGATGTAAAATCTTCAAAGCACACCCAGTCCTCGGGCACATGACACCATACCACGACTCCATGGGATATACAGCAGGTCTGTTATGGCCTATTGTGATGTACCTGGACGAAAGCCAGCCTCTGGCTTAGGGGGTGTCTTCAGTAGGCCCGGGCAAAGACTTGGCGTACAAGAGGAAGTGATGGGGTAACATCGGGCAAAGTGTCACGGGGCGAAGTTGACATCGCAGCCACACCGACAGGGGTAGACATGGAAAGTAGAAGACATAGGTCTGGGGGGGGCGTGCCCTTTTTCGCTCCGTTTCTGGGAGGAGTTGGACGTGAAAAAGGGCACCCCTCAAAAAGTGAGGCGCGCTTGCCGGCGGCGTGTTGCGAATCAGTGAGCAAAGACGGCGGTGGGGGTTCATGCGCGAGGCGATGGGTAGGGTATAGGTGAGGGGAGAGAGAGAGAGAGAGATATATATATGTGTGTATAGGTAGAGAGGACAAAGAGTAGCCGGAAGTGGTGAGGTTGATATTACTTGAGCGTGCAAGATGAAGTGATCGGCTAACATTATGTAAAGAGTACGTTTATGGGGTGAAGCTGGCATCGCAGGTACGCGAGAGGAGGTAGAAACAGACGGTGGAGGTAAAAGGGGAGGCGCCCTTTTTCGTACTGGTTCAGGAATGCTTTGGGGGTGAAAAAGGGTACCCTCAAAGATTTATGTGAGTTCGTCAGCTGCGTGTTGGTATTAATGAATGACCCGAGACGGTTGTGGGTGAGGCTATCGGTAGGCTTTCGTGAGATATGTGTATAGGTAGAGTGGACAAGGAGGAGCTGGAGAAGTGGATATGGCCGTCAGTCGAAAAAAGAATGGAAAGAGAGAGTAGAATACAGAGGTTTCGGATGGGCGCCCTTTGGCTTAGCATCTCGATGTTGGGGCGTTGTGGAGGGGAAGAGGGCACCCTTGTAGTCTGGGGAAGGTTGGGTATGGTGTGTTGGTGTTGGTCTATGTTTCAAGTGAGTTGACGGCTGGCTTTCGTGAAGTAAGCTTGGAATGTAGTTTGGAGTAAGTGCTACAGTTTCCAGCAACAGCTGGCCACTTCAAATGGCCAAACTGCTAACCTCTGTGGTATGGATGCAATGTGGTATGTCATAAGTACAAAATAGCTAAATAGTTATGTAAGATGACAGATGTGACTGGTACAGCAAGGAGATTGTACAAATTCAAGACGATGGTCCATTGAACTCCCACCGCGCAGGGAGTGCCCCGGAAGGTACTGAATAGCTTAGGGGTGCCCTTTTTTATTCGTAGCAAGGTCTAGTTGCTGGACTGAAAAAGGCACCCCACATGGGGAACGTTGGAGACAGAAGGTTTTGAATAGCTTAGGGGTTCCCTTTTTTTTCCGTAGCGAGGTCTAGTTTTTGGATCTAACAGGGCACCCCGCAGGATGATGCTATCTGTTCAGAGCCTGCGCGAGAACCAAACTGAAGAGGGCGCTCCCCATGTCGTAGGAGTTCACGTGGAATGGAAGGTTGTTAAGGCAGGAGAGAGAAGAGTTGCAGTGGGCAAAGGTTGGAGGCGGGAGGTCCTAAATAGCTTCGGGGTGCCCTCTTTTATCCGTAGCAAGGTCGACTTGCTGGACTGAAAAGGGCACCCCACATGGGAGGCGGAAGGTCGTGAATAGCTTAGGGGCGCTCTTTTTATTCGTAGCAAGGTCTAGTTGCTGGACTGAAAAGGGCACCCCGCATGGGGTGCACATGTCATCTGTTGAGGGCCCGCGAGAGAACCGGACTGAAGAGGGCACTCCACATGTGGTGGTTGGGGGCAGGAGAGTCGGGAGAGAGAAGAGGTTGGCTCTGAATAGCTTAAGCTTAGGGGCGCCCTTTTGTAGCCGCAGCAAGGTCTAGTTGCTGGACTGAAAAGGGGACCCCCGCATGGGGTGCATGATGCCATCTGTTCAGGGCCTGCGAGAGAACCGAACTGAAGAGGGCGCTCCCCACGTGGTGGAAGTTCACGCGGAATGGGGGGTTGTTGAAGGCATGGCAGCGAACACGCGTTGGAGGCGGAACCCCAATTCACGTCAACTCCCACCGCATAGGGAGTCCCCTCTTCAGTCCAGAAACGCAAGCATAGCCGCAACTACAATCTGTTCTCTTTCCATGGCCTCCTGAGCCCCTCATGACGCTGATGATGCACTCTTCGCCGTCAATCACATCACCGGCATCACAACGCCCCTCAAACCACTCATTTTTCACTACCAAGCGGCCCGCCTCTTTTTGTTGCTCTCCCCCACCAGGCTCTGGGTTTAACCTCTCCGCCACCGCGCAACCACCCCCTACCGGCTGGCTTTCGTGATATATATATATATATACGAAATGTATTACAATGTCATGTCACAGATTGAAATACATGCAATGGAACCTTCTGCGCACTCATGCACAAACAACTTTTCTGCAAGCCTTGATCTCCTTCAGCATTTGTTCAGGATCTTGGATTCCATTCACCTTCAAAACACATTCCCGTAAATCGCAGCATTGTGGTACTTCTAATCCGTCATGATGCTTCATGGACGCAGAAGCTGCTCGAGGGCCTCCACAATGCTGTCTCCCACAAGTATCTGTCTTGCCGAATCCTGGCGTATAAGAATATCATCTGAGTCAAGAGAGAATTCAACAGTCCTCTTTGGCGTTGAAGTTTCCGACCAGCCCATGCCTAAGACAGACTTAGAAAATGAGAAGACGTAAAGGTCGACTCAATGGATCAAACAAGTCTGGACAACAAGTCTTTCAAGGGCGCTATTTGGGGGGCTCTTGGCGCAACAAGGACGCCAGTAGGGGGTGAGGGTCGGATCGGTCACCAGGATCGGTCACCAAGGTGGTCGGATCGGTCGCCACGGATCGGTGACCGGAAATTACGGATCGGCGACTGGAAAACACGGATCGGTGACCAGGCTCAACGGATCGGTCGCTCGGTCGCCAGGATCGGTCACCGGAGGTATAGCGATGAAAGAAAGTGAAACAAACGAAGCCGACCATACCGGATCGGTCGCCACTAACAAGCTTGCAAACCTGTATGCTGGACTTCAATGTATGCTGGCATTATCTACATCGCCCGCATGCTCCTACCCAGGCTGCCCAGGCCCGGCGAACAAACCAAGCGCGCCGGATCGGTCGCGAGGATCGGTGACCAGAGAGGTCTAGCGAAGGAAAGGAAAACGTACCAAACCAACCATACCGGATCGGTCGCCAGGATCGGTCACCAGACAGGTGAAGCGAAGGAACGGAAAACAAACCAAACCAACCATACCGGATCGGTCGCAGGATCGGTCACCAGAGAGGTCTATGGCGAAGGAGAGGAAAACGTACCAAACCAACCATACCAGGGAGGTCTAGCAAAGGAAAGGAAAACAAACCAAACCAACCATACCGGATCGGTCGCCAGGATCGGTCACCAGAGAGGTCTAAGGAAAAGAAAAAACTAGACGACGAGTGGCCCGAAAGCATTTTTCATCACGTAGGAAGTCAGAGTGCGAGTTATCTGTTAAGTGTGTTATAAGTGTTCAGTGTGAAGTGTTAAGTCGAGTGTGTTGAGGCAGTGTGTGGGTCTCTGTGTGTGTGTATCTATGTCTGTGTGTGTGTATGTGTCTCTCTCTGTATGTCTTTCTGAAGCGCAGGAACACCTGTTTTCTGCAAGTTCTTCACCTCTCGAAAGTCACCTCCGCGTAGTAAAGTTGTACTACAAAGTCGCCAGTTCTCATCTTCCAGCTCCACAGATTGCTCCGTGTACTAAAGTTCTACTACCAAGTCGCCAGTTCTCATCTTCCAGCTCCCCAGATACTCCGCGTACTCAAGTTGTACTACCAAGTCGCCAGTTCTCATCTTCCAGCTCCCCGGATACTCCGCGTACTAATGTTGTACTACCAAGTCACCAGTTCTCATCTTCCAGCTCCCCAGCTACTCCGCGTACTACAGTTGTACTACAAAGTCGCCAGTGCTCATCTTCCAGCTCCCGAGATACTCCGCGTACTCAAGTTGTACTGCCAAGTCGCCAGTTCTCATCTTCCCACCGCCCAGCTACTCCGCGTACTAAAGTTGTACTGCAAAGTCGCCAGTTCTCAGTTCTCAGCTTCCAGCTCCACAGATTGCTCCGCGTACTAAAGTTGTACTAGAAACTCACCAGTTCTCAGCTTCCAGCTCCACAGCTACTCCGCGTACTAAAGTTGCACTACAAAGTCGCCAGTTCTCAGCTTCCGGCTCCACAGATTGCTCCGCGTACTAAAGTTGCACTAGAAAGTCGCCAGTTCTCAGCCTCCAGCTCCCCGGCTACTCCGCGTACTAAAGTTGTACTACAAAGTCGCCAGTTCTCAGCTCCCAGCTCCACAGATTTCTCCGCGTACTAAAGTTGTACTAGAAAGTCGCCAGTTCTCAGCTGCCAGCTCCCCAGCTACTCCGCGTACTAAAGTTGTACTACAAAGCCGCCAGTGCTCATCTTCCAGCTCTCCAGATACTCTGCGTACTAAAGTTGTACTACAAAGTCGCCAGTTCTCAGCTCCCAGCTCCACAGATTGCTTTCGCGCGCTCGACACGCACGATCTCCGCAGAGGGTTGCGCGCACAGCCGGCAAATCGCACTCTCGCCTGTATTTCGCGCACTCGACACGCGCGATCTCCGCAGAGGGTTGCGCGCGCAGCCGGCAAATCGCACTCTCGCCTGCATTTCGCGCACTCGACGCGCACGGTCTCCGCAGAGGGTTGCGCGCGCAGCCGGCAAATCGCACTCTCGCCTGCATTTCGCGCACTCGACACGCACGATCTCCGCAGAGGGTTGCACTTTCGGTTGACGCTGTTCGTCCCGCCCTCCGCCTTGAAAAGAGAATTTATAAAGTGGGGAAATGTTTTTTCATTAGGACATCTCCCGTGCTAGTTTTCCATACTCACACTTGCCTACTCATTGCATGCTTGTTGCATGCTTGCATAGTCATTGCATGCTTGCATACTCACGCTTGCATATCATGCTTGCATACTTATACACTTGCATACTTTGACACTGGCATACTTCGCACTTGGATGCTTTCGCTCTTCCAGTGTGTGTGTGTCAGTGTGAGTGTCGAAGTGTAAGTGTCGAAGTGTCAGTGTTCAAAGGATTTTCCGGAAGAACCCTTCGCAATGCTTTCGGGAACAAAGCAACCATACCGGATCATACAACGTCACAAATTCAGTCCAGACTTTTTTCCAACATATCGTAAACTCAAGAAATAGGTTGTTGAAAAACCATGTGTGTGTGAAAACACGTTAATGAATTCGATCAAACCTGAGCTGGAGTAGTCACCCAACCTAAGCTGGATGACAATCGGCGGAACGCCTTGAACTCGCAGGTGGTAAATTTTGTATATGCTGGACTTCAATGTCTGCGCAACAAAAGCATTATCTACGTCATAGTAGTAGTAGTAGTAGTAGTAGTGGTAGTGGTAGTGGTACTGGTAGTAGTAGTAGTAGTAGTGGTAGTGGTAGTGGTAGTCGTAGTAGTAGTAGTAGTGGTAGTAGTAGTAGTAGTCGTAGTAGTAGTAGTGGTGGTAGTAGTAGTAGTACCTTAACCCTAAAACCTAACCCCAAAAAACTTAACCATCAAACGTCGTACTAGTAGTAGTAGTAGTGGTGGTGGTGGTGGTAGTAGTAGTGGTAGTGGTGGTAGTAGTGGTGGTAGTAGTAGTGATAGTAGTAGTGGTCGTGGTCGAGGTGGTAGTAGTAGGTAGTAGTAGTAGGTAGTAGTATGTAGTAGTAGGTAGTATTAGTAGGTAGTTTTAGGTAGTAGTAGGTACTAGTACTAGTAGTAGTAGTTACTAGTAGTAGTAGTAGTAGTAGTCGTAGTAGTAGTGGTAGTCGTAGTAGTAGTAGTAGTAGTAGTGGTCGTAGTAGTAGTAGTAGTGGTAGTCGTAGTCGTAGTGGTAGTAGTAGTAGTAGTAGTGGTAGTATAGTAGTAGTAGTAGTAGTAGTAGCTGCTAAGAACAAGAAACTACTAGAAGCAAAGGGCACCGCTGCTAGTAACAAGGGCGCTATTAGCGGCTCCTGGCATCGCGACTAGGAACAAGAAGCTACTAGGAGCAAAGGGCATTGCTACTAGTAACAAGGACGCCGTTGGAGGCTCCTGGCATCGCTACTAGGAACAAGACACTACTAGGAGCAAAGGGCATCGCTACTAGCAACAAGGACGCTATTAGGGGGAACAAGAAGCTACTAGGAGCAAAGGGCATCGCTGCTAGAAACAAGGACGCTATTAGGGGCTCCTGCCATCGCGACTAGGAACAAGAAGGTACTAGGAGCAAAGGGCACTGCTATTAGTAACAAGGAAGCTATTGGGGG